TACTGCATGCTGTGGTGATAGATATTATGTAGATATGTTGCTCATTATTAAAGGAAAGGAGATAACATTTTAAAAGGGCTTATTGTTTGCTGGAGTCCCTGGGTGGTGCAAACAGTTAACACACTTGGCTGCTAACCAAAAGGTTGGAGTTTGGAATCCACCCAGAGGCACATGGGAAGAAAGGCCTGGAAATCTACTTCTGAAAAATCAGCCACTGAAAACCCTATAGAGCACAGTTCTACTCTGATACACATGGGGTCACCATGAGTCTGAATCAACTCGACAGTAACTTTCATTTTTATTGTGTGCCAGGTATTTCATATATGCCATCTTCTTTATAATCCTTCAGGTAAATATTATTTTCATTTCAGAGAGAAAGAAGCTAAGACTCAAAGAGGCTAAGTAAATTAATTAGGACCAAAACACAGGATTTTAAATTAAAAATAGTTTGTCATAGTTTACCATTTGGCATGTTGAGAAATCAATGGCAGCACTATCACGTAATAGAAGACAATCACATTGATAATCTGATCTGTCAAATTGCAAATCTCCTAGATAAGTCTTGGTATAGGGGATGAGAGTGGGGAGGCAGAGAACCTAGGAGAGAATAGTTAAAAATGAGCTGTGTATGCCAGGATCTCTGAGTTGCTTAATCCTATATGATCTCATGTTTTTATTTTTAAGATAAAATTGAAGTTGATGCTTAGCTTACCAAAGTGTCAAAATGAGACAATTAATTAATGTGTATCTAAAGTGCTCTGTAATAGGATGATTAATATTTAATTATATTCTTCGTGAACTGGGGAGCTCCCTATTGAGAGTATTTCTGGTAGCCAAGCAAATCCTTCAATAAAGCTTCATTCTCTTTGTTAATCTTGGCACAGTTTGAAAGGTTTTTAAAATGAGGCTATTTAATTATTTAGTCCATTCTACATTTATCTAATTCTTACTCTTTTTATACCTGAAGGAAAGCAATGGTATTTTTCAGAATATTGAGATGAGTTTTGGAGAATGAGAAGAGAGAGAGAATGTTTAACCTATTTAGAATATTACAGATGACTTAAGGGACACTTGAAGAACTTTTCTTTTTTTCCTCAAGTAGGAAATAGGGCATTGTACCTTGGAAAATATGAAAAAATGAGAATTTTCAGTGTCAGCAATAGGAAAAAATTCAGTTTATGGAGTTCCATTTCCATATTTAAGGAGCCCTGGTGGTGCAGCTCTGGTGGTGTAGTGGTTAAGAGTTCGGCTGCTAACCAAAAGGTCGACAATTCAGATCCACCAGGTGCTCCTTGGAGACGCTATGGGGCAGTTCTACTCCGTCCTGTAGGGTCGCTATGAGTCAGAATTGACTTGACAGCAACAGGTTTGGTTTTGGTTTGGTGATGCAACAATTAAGCGCTTGGCTGCTAACCAAAAGGTTGGCAGTTTGAACCTTCCCAGCAGCTCTGCAGAAGAAAAGACCTGGTGATCTACTCCCATAAAGATGACAACCTAGAAAACCCTGTGGGGCAGTTCTAGTCTGTTAAATGGGGTCACTATGAGTCGGAATCAGTTTAACAGCACCTAACAACAATAACAACATTTCAGTATTTATGAAACTCATAAAAACTTGAGCAGTTGTGTGTCCAAAAGTATAGGGAATATGCTGCCTTAGTTCTGAAGATGAAGGATTGAAATTTTGCCTTGGATAAAGAAGCAATTATTAAGATAAGCTTTTTTATTTATGATAGTCGAGAGTATGTATAAGCAACCATTTTTAATAAATTTAGGGTATGTACTTTATTTGATCACCATTGTTTTAAGTTTTGCTTTTGAATACAAAGTACATTATGGCACAGGTACCTAAGTACCTGTTTACCTCCTTAGATGCTGGTAGACCACTTGTTTTGCTAGTCTTTGGAATTGAAAGGAGTGTCAGATACACAGAAGCCAGAATCATCTTGGCCAGATGGTGTTTGATACAGATGGATGGTTAGTTGTCATGCAGATCTCCTAGTTGGTAACTTGTTGCTGCCATCTGACTCAAAGAATCATTCACACACACTGGCTGTCAAAAGCATCTTCTCTTCTGTCTGTTTTAGCTGTCATGTCTGTGCTCTGTACAGAAGTGTTGACAAGACATTGCTGTTGTACATTTTCAATTTGGTTGTTAGTGATTTTTCTGTTTTGTGGGGTCTTTGATAGTACTGAAATGTACTTGCTTTGTAATTGTATTGTTTTTTTAAAAAAATACTGTGATAGTACAACAATTACCTGACCTTTAATAGGACTTTTCGGGTTATACGTTTTTTTCAGCTCTGTTCAGTGGACGAAATGTTTAATAAAAAGGAAAAAAAAAAACCCTTTTTGTTTTATTTAGTTTCCAGACATAGTAAATAAACTGAATTTTGCTGGTTATTTCCCAATTTGATGTAATATCCTTTTTTGTGCTCAAAATCTTTATACTCTTCCTGAATATGTATTTTCTTTTCTCAGATTATTACCTTTTTTCTGACAGTATAAGCTTCTTTTTTTTTCTTCCAGAATATCTTCAGACTTTGTCTGTCCTTTGTATCCATTTGCTCAAACTTAACTTGCCTTTGTCTCATTCACCTACTGACTTTGTCTCCATTTTTTCCTGTTTCCCTCCTAGAAATATAAGCAAAGCCATTTCTCCTTCAATTCACTGCTAAAGGCATATCTAGTTCTCTGATAATTATTTAACAACTTAGTTAATTTATTCATCCAAGTACTATTTACCGAGCATCTCAATACATGCCAGGCACTCTGGTACACTCTGGAGATACCAGAAAGTATTCTCTGCCCTTGAGAGTTCATGGTATAGAGGGAAATCAGACATATAGACAATTAAACTAGAATGTAATGTGTGTTGAAAGTGCAGTAGGAGAACGTGAACAATTGCTCTTTTATTTCCCCTGTTGTACTTCCAGAATATCTGTTTTTAAAAGTACTACAGAATTTGCATGAACTTTTTATAATACTTTATTAAATGGGTTTTAAAAAATAGTTAAAAACTTCAACTTGAAGTAGCCGTGAATCTATTGATTTTGTCCAGTTAATTAATACATTTCAGCATTATTCATTTAATCTGTGTTATGTGCAGACATGCTGAAGTATGTTTTTAAGCCAGGGACTAGAAGATGAAAATTAACTGACAGAAGGTTTCTGAGCTGATTCCAAAAGAAAATATGTGGTGATTTGGTTTCTTCATTAAGGTGGGAAAAACCATAGTGGATGGGGAATGGATTGAGGCTTGAATAACTTAGATATTTATTGTGCACCTATCTCTAACTTGCTATTTTTTGTACTGGTTACATAGTCTCTGAGTAGTATCATCAAAATATAGAGAAAGAATGAGTAACTACTGGTTGATTTTATGAAGAACTTTGTGTTCTTTAGAGAAAGTTCTAAATACATAGAAATAGGGAAGGCTCTAACATCAACTTGTTGGCTGATTCCTCAGACCTGATGGCTCTGTGTAACTCAGGTAAATTTAAGTTATTAAAAATTGCTGTGTAACCCAGGTAGATTTAAGGTATTAAAAATTACTGGAGACATTTGGATCCTCCTTTCAGTCAACATGCCCACTCCTTCTAGCGGCTTGGATATGAATTTATGTAAGAATAAGATGGTTGTCCTGGAACTCGTATTCATAGGATACGTGGTCCAAGTGGACTCACAAGATTCATTCTTGTGCTCATAGTAATAAAATTTGCTTGGATTCTTTCATTTCTTTTTTTTCCCACTAAGAATGTACTGAACGCCTGTGCGTAAGTTACAGTACAGAACTCTATGGCAAATGTTAAATTATCTAAGCTGCGTATAGGGAACTTGCGAAGATAATGTACCATTTGGGTTACTTATCAACTCTGTCAGTTATTCATGTTTGAAATATATTAATTATAAAATTTCACCTGTTGTTTGGGAAAATGGGGTATTTTGCTTTAATTTCTTAATTTATTTTTGAGACTATAAGAACAGCTGTGTAATTTATAAAAGACATTAGGTTTATTGATCTCTGAAAATATTACAACTTCGCTGATTTTGAACTTTAAGATTCTGTTCAAAAGTCAAATACTTAGTATCTACTGAAGTACATTCAGAGATTCTTAGAACTTCATTCCATATTTTAAGGAATTTACGATCTAGTCTTTCATTTATTTGTTCCTTCAGTGATAGAAATTGGTAAAGAATACTCTTTTTTGTGATTTTTTTAAAGACTTTGTACTAATTTGGTAATTGTAATGCAACATTTTCAAATTTGCTTTAAGGTTTGCAAGATCTAAATTTCCTAATGCAAACTCGTATCTTTTTTCAATGCTTAATTCTCCTAGCTATTGCAATAAAACAGAAAGATGAATGGATTTAAAAATAGGGGAAATTATGGTATTTAAAATATACACTAAAGATTAGCAGTGATATTTTCTTGACTTCTTAAAACTTAATCTTAGAAGTTTCTAATCAGTATAATCTTGTAATTTTTATTTGTCCCTTAGTTTTATAGTGTCTTAGTTGTAGTTACTTCCTTCAGTCTTTTTGTATTCTAGAAATAAATTCAGAAGTAGGTTTATTTAAAAGACACGAAATCCTACATTTGTTTTAAGTTAGTGGGTATTTTTATAGAATATCTTTAATGTAGCATCAGTTTTACCATTTATGCCTTTCTCTTTGTTATCATTAAGGACAAGTTATAGATTACAATTTTTATGTTAACTGAAGGACCAAGAAACCTTATACTGAACTCTTGACAAACTGTTTTAATTAAGATGATTTTTAAAAATTTTTATAGTTGCTTTAAGTATTTTAAATCAGTTATGTTTGTAATGATTACAAATACAAGCCAAAGCCAATTTTTAGCTAAAAAATACTCAATGCCTGTGAAATGACAATATGGGCAACACATGTCTATTTAAATTACTCATATCTAGTTATAATTATTAATGGACAGTAAATGTATATGTCTCAGTAAATACCATGCTAACTGGTTTTTATGTCAGCAGACTGAGAACTATGAGCAGAGAATACGTGAGCAACAGGAACAGCTGTCACTTCAACAAACTATTATTGACAAGCTAAAATCACAGTTACTTCTTTTGAATTCCAGTCGAGGTATGTTCACGTTAATTTTTTATATATTTCTAGAATCTCCTAGAGAAAAGAAAGGTGGAAATCAAGTTTTTCTATTGTATTCCTCTGTGTATCAGTTGTCCTGTTATTTTAATGACTGTGGTATAGTTACATATTATGTTTATTTAAGAAATGAACACTTCTAGGATATGGGAAAATGGGCACTCACAGACACTATATGGTGGAAGTCTAAATGATAAAACTTCTTAGAAGGCAATTTTACCAGTAACTATGAAGAGTGTTTTACAAGGTCTGTTCCTTTTGAATCAAAAATTCAGATCCTAACGAATATATTGTAAGAAAATATTTGTTCAAGTACTGTAAAAGATACATATGCAAGGATGCTCATTACAGTATTATTCTTAATAATGAAAAACTAGAAACAAAGAAATGTCCAACAGTTAAGTTATGCTTATGCATATGATGAACAACTAGGTAACCAAGAAAAGTAATAATAATAGATTTTAACTTACTAGCGTGAAATATATTCACGATATATAGCAAAGTGAACGAAGCGGGATACAAAAACAAATATAATATTATTTCATTCCTGCAAAAATAAATTCATGCATGAATTTATATGTATAGGAAAAGAAAAACCCTGATAGAATATAAACTAGGATGTTAGCAGAAGTAATTCACAGGTGATAAAAATTGTGGGTAGCTTTTACTTTTTTTCTTTTTTGGCATATCCACATTTTCTAATTTTCCTACAGTGAGCATGGAGTAGTTATGTGAATAATTATTATAAACAAGAAATGAATACCTCAAAATACGACTTATGTAAAAGAGTATTGTTGCTGATGGTAAGATGCAAAGAGCATGCTTCTGATTTTCTAAATTCTACATATTTTGCACACTCTGACTTTGGGAGAGTAGTGGTTTTGTGTGTTTTAATGGGAATGAAAAAAAATCTAAATGGACAACTTGTCAAAATAACTATTATCTAAAGAGGTTTTTTTTTTATAACTTATGGTTTAAATCTCTATACTTTAAAATTATGGTTTTCAGTTTATATTCTTTTCATTTTTTTCAGATGGTACCAAAAACAAGGGTTTCCTACTGATGTCCAAGAGGTTTTTGTTTTGCAGATAATAGTTATGGCATTGTTCCCCTGCTTGAAGACAGTGAAACGAGGAAGAATAATTTGACTCTTGATCAGCCACATGATAAAGTGAAATCAGGAATACCAAGAGAAAAACAATCAAAGGTAGACTGCACTGCCAGGTTTATTCCCTATAAGAAATGAGAAATCAGATTCCACAGACTTCCTGAATTATTTAGTCAGTATTCTGTCACAATTTGGTTGGGAGAAAGTGGGCAAGATTCATTTCAACCCTAATATTTCATCTGCAGAAATCATCACTCAAATACTGACAGAAAACATATCTTACTCATTTAATTTTCCTGAGGTGGATCCACCACTGGAATTGTAAACAGAAGGTCTATATGTATGAACATATGACTTATGTATTCTTAAATAGAAGCGCTATTTCCAAATAAAATAGAATAGGTTTCATATTTCCTAGTGTTCTCTTTTCTGTAATGCAAGCATTTAACAAAGAAATAAAAGGTTAAACTAAGGTGGATAGTAGACACAGATGATTTTCGATTAGAAAATAGGTTTCTAGTTTTTCTTTAATTGCCTTGCTTAGTAAAAAAAATTCATCTAAACAGCTTATGCAGAAGTCTTCATTGAAGCAGTATGTAAAGAAATATTCCATATCTGCAAGGAGACATACACAAGGATGTTCATGCTACATTGGTTAGAAACAACCTAAACATCCATCAGTATCAGAATGGTACGTCTTTACAATGAAACACTTTATAAAAATTAAAATAAATATATATTAATGTGGATATATCTCAGAAACAATATTGAGTCAAAAATGGAAATTGCAGAATGATAAAATGGAAATAGTTTATGTAAATACTTAAAATGTTATTACATTAATGTTTATGAAAGCATGTATATGTAGTAAAAGTATAAAAACATAAACAGGAAGGATATACAGCTTTGTTAGAAAATTATCAACTCTACAGATGAGGAGAGTAGAGAGTATATGATAGCCGGAAGGGGAATAAAGGGGTCTTCAGTTGTATCTGTACATTTTATTTCTTTAAAGAAAGCAAGATCTGAAGCAAATATGGCAAAATGTTAATTGAGGGTGGTGGGGGTGTGGATGTGTTTTTCTGAATCATCGAAATTTTGTAAGTTTAAAAAGGATTTTTTCAATGAGATGAGTTGGGTTTTAGTGGGAAATGCATCTTTTAAATAAAATAAAATCTTAACAATTCAGGGCTCTTAGCATCAGCAAGACCAATGAAAGCAGAGTGCTGTATTTCTTTCATTCTAAATAAGGTGGGAGATTTTAGCTTAGTTTGTCAGGGTTATTCAGTTACTGATCCCATAACTAAGTCTAGCTTACATTTCTGTACTAACTCAGAAGTTATTATTTATTGTCACATCTGAGAAATCCAGTTTTGAGACTTTTTCTCTAAAAAATTTTAGAAAGTTCTCTAAAGTATTTCTCAGTTCATAGTTTTATCATGCATAATCATTATTTTTTTTATTTGAATCATTCAGTTCTGTCTTCACCCCCACTCCAATTTCCATACATCTAAAAATGCTAATAAATAAACACAAGAAACCATACTATTAGAATATGTTCAGGTTTATTTTGCAAAAAATGGAATTCAGAAACAATGATTCTGACTTTTAAAATAAAACTTCGTGATTGGGCCTATTATAACACATAAAATCATTGAAGTGCTGTAAAATGCTGACCTAGAAACTTAGTGCTTAAGTAAATAATATTTACAGTCTATTTTCTTGTTTCAAGAACTTCTAAATGCCATTATTTAGCACTAATTTTTAATCATATTTTTTATTTCTAGTTAGATAACATTTCTTTGAAGATAGTAGAATATCTGTAGTTCAAAATATATGGAAGGTATTTTTGAAAATAACAGTCTTTGTTAGAAAAGGATGAAGTGAAAGAGTCTAAGATATATTAATAATTTATTTTAAATGTGGGTAATTTTTAGTTATTTATGAAAGTTTTACAGTTTATTTTTTAGTCAGAATAAGTAATCAAAGGTCCCTGGGTGGTGCAAACAGTTTGCATTCAGCTGGTAACCAAAAGCTTGGTGGTTCAAACCCAGACAGTGGCACCGCGGAAGAAATAAGGCCTGGTGATCTGCTTCAGTAAAGATTACAACCAAGAAAACCCTGTGGAACGTTTCTACTCTGTAACACCTGGGGTCTCCAAAGTCACAAACCAACAACAAAAATGCAATCAACAACAGAATAAGTAATCAAAGGCAGACCTTCAACAGAAATCTTTTTTAAGTTACATCTGTTTTAATTTTGTAAGATTAGCCTTTTACTTTATCTATAAAATATATATCTGTATGCCTGGGCTGAAATTAAATGTAAGTAGCGGAAACCTTGTCAGAGATAGCTTATTACCAAAGAATTAATAATGTTGCATCAATTGTAACTACATTTGTAATAGGCAAAAAGAGGAGAAAATTTAAAAACTCCAAGTAAGAGAGAAATCTAAATTCAGTCAGTTCTGTTAATTATGTTTACTAATAGGGGAAAGGTTTATGTGATAACTACATTTTAGTACTTTGAATAGCTGTTTTTATACTGTAGCCATTTAATAAAAATCCAAATTAATCATCTTGCATCTCAGCTTTCCATTCTTCCTTTAAATATCTCTGGCCAAAGTGCTAATGAACACTAAATGTGTAATGGATTAAAGAGAACAGGAAATATATCCTAAAGAATAGATAGATTAGATTTATTGAATATTTGAGAGCTGACTGTATATTCAGTATAAAAGATTAGGCCAATTTTGGAAAATACTGGCCAGTCAAGCAGTTGAAATTAAAATATTTTCCGTTGGCATATATGTTAATCTATATATTTAGTTATAATTAAATTCACTTTTCTGTTGCAAGTCTGAGCCAGGTGAAATCCTTTCCTATATAACTTTGAATGATTTGATTTGATGAGGGTTTTTCCAAAAATGAGAAAATTCCATGTGGTTGGTTGCAATTTTGTAAAAGTATGTTATCCACATGGACAAGAATTAGAAGGCAGTATGTAGACATGGTTAAGGTGATGGTATGAATCACTTTTTTTTTTCTAGTTTCAATATACTTTAAAATTGTCTTTTCAAAAATTAATGTTATTTCAGGAAATCACATTCCCAGTCAGTTGGTCTAGCCTCTGTAATGAGTTAGTTAATAGAAATGCTTTGAACCGGAACAGAAGGAAGCTACTGCCTACCACCCACATTTCCTTTCCTTCAGTGTGGGATAGCTTGAGGGTTTGTTTTCTTTAGACTATTTGTTTTGTTTAGAGTTTTGTTTTTTTAAGATTTTGTTTTCTTTAGAATAATGGAGAAGTGAAAAAGCATGTACTTTATGGCAAAGGATAACTGTAACTGCCTTGGAAAATGAGACAAACTTAAGGAAGGAAATATGTTGAGGAGAAAAGGCCCTTCTCGGAAATTTTACTGGGGGAACATGAAATTTATAGTTCAGCCTCTGTTCAGGCCAATCCTACACAAACAGCATGCAAGAGTCCTTTATCTTCTAAGGGAACATAGAGAGGTAAAGACAATGAGTCTGCATCGTTGGGTGATCCCTTTGTACTGTGCTTATAGTTTGGAGACCTATGGTGGAAGTACTCAGTTTAATGGAAAACCCAAGTTTCATAGTTTATCCACCACTGTAGTTTGTACAGTCTTTCTTGGTGGCATATGATTTTGGGAAAGGGCACATTGGATTAGTTATTTATTGCATAACAAATTACCCCAAACACACCCTAAAACTTACTGACTTAAAATAAATATTTATTATCTCAGTTTCTGTGGGTTAGGAATTGAAGAGCAGCTTAACTGAGTGGGTGGTTCTAGCTCAGAGTCTTCTCTTGTGTGGTTGAAGTCAGGATGTGGGCAGGGGCTATAGTCATCTGAAGATTTAATTGGAGTTGGAGGATCTGCTTCCAAGATGATTCACTCACATGACTGTTGGCAGGAGTCCTCACCACATGGGCTTCTCTTCACAACATGGCAGCTAACTTTCTTCAGTGCAAGAGATCTAAAAGAAAAATCAAGGAGGAAGTTGCTTTTTATGACCTAGTCTCTGAAGTCTCATAACTTCACTTCCATTCTGTTCTTTTCATTAGAAGCAAATCTCTAAGTGCTCAAGGGGAGAGGAATTAAGTTCCACCTCTTGAAGGGAGGAATATCAAAGATTTTGTAGACATATTTTTAAAGCATCAAAGGCATTGTAGATTATGGCATACAGAAGAGGGTACCAAAAATCAAGGTGTGTGAGAACGTGGTATTTAATTCAACATGTGATAAATACTGGTGAAAGGTAAAGGAACTTGGCAGAATTTAATAATGAATTCAACTTCCTGAATCCTATCATTATGAATTGGAGAGGAAAGAAGTAGCATAGGCTATCATCTTAAGAACAATTTTAAAAATTCTAATATGAATATAAACTTTCCAGAGAAGAATAATGACTGAGCAGTGCTTTATGGAATCAAGAAACTCTAGCATGTTGTTGCTAATTCTTTTTTTATATCCAGTTTTAATAATTGAGAATATATGTATAATGGGAATCAAATTAACAAAAAAGTACACACACTCTTTTTTGATATATATATCTTTTTATTGTGCTTTAGATGAAGGTTTACAGAGCACATGAGTTTCTCATTAAACAATTACTACACATATTGTTTTGTGACATTGGTTGCCAACCCCACAACATGTTACCACTCTCCCCTTCTCGACCTTGGGTTCCCCATTACCAGTTTTTCTGTGCCCTCCTGCCTTCTTTTTCTTGCCCCTGGGTTGGTGTGCTCATTTAGTCTCATTTTGTTTTATGGGGCTTTCTAATCTTTGGCTGAAGGGTGAACCTCAGGAGTGACTTCAGTACTGAGTTAAAAGGGTGCCTGGGGACCATACTCTCGGAGTTTCTCCAATTTCTGTCAGACCAGTAAGTCTGGTCTTTTTTTATGAGTTAGAATTTGTTCTACATTTTTCTCCAGCTCTGTCAGGGACCCTGTATTGTGATCCCTGTCGGAGCAGTCGGTGGTGGTAGCCGGCACCATCTAGTTGTGCTGGACTCCGTCTGGTGGAGTCTGTGGTACCTTGCTCCAGACAAGGTGAGACCAGTGGAGTA